ACTTTCCACCTTGATTCTCATAAGTTGATCAATCTGACTGTTTCGTTCAAAATTAGATTTTTAATTAGATGAATTTTACTTCATGAAATCTAGCAACATTCAGATATGTACAATGTACAATGAACTATGGTATATATGTTCAACCATTCAAATTGTTATAGCATATCAGACTAAAAGCCAGATTGCTGGACGTAGTGATAATATTAGTACAGGTAAAAATGATCAAGCGCCTCAGAAAAATAATGGAATTTCAGAAGACTACTGGACGGAAAATCTAAGGTAAGATAGGGTTTAAGTACAAAAGATATAGTCGAGCTCTTTTAACCATATTAATCATAAAGCTTTACCTTTCAGCCATCGGAGAATATCCTAGGAACTGTTCACAAAAATAATACTTGTTCTCTATCAATAACAGTTGTAGTAATAGCTGTGTCTGTTGAAAAAATAGATTATCTTGAGGATGCCTGTTCGCATGCTAAGCGAGCGAGAGCCATAACAAAGCAATTTTGACACGTATGGAGGATGGCTGGGAAGCCAACTCCCTTTTAATCAAGCGTTACTCAGTATTTATAGGCAGACAAAATAAGCTACAGACATACAATGAGTCATGGGACATGAAGTGTACACACATATACGCTCATGTGAAAACAGTCAAGGCTAATAAGCGAATAATTGACAAGGTCAAAATATGCTCAAGTAAAATGAATAAAATAGGATGTTCGGAAGTTAGAATAAGGTATATGGGCTTGCCATAATAGCTGACACTACAATCTTTCCTTGTTCAAAGTTAGATTCCCCCAATTCATTTTGACAATGATGAGATTGTTGTGACTGAACACTTGATGTATCAAGTTCGCTACTTGATTAACGCAGAATAAGGTTTGCGACTACGAGACTCAAACGTTGAACTTCACTGTCGCAAATCAGAAGACAGAAGAAAAGCTGGAGAAGTGTTTATTTAGTAAGAATCAAAATGTACAGAAAATGACGGGTATTTATGGATATTCGCGTTTGTTAAATCAACATTGTAATTCGGCCAATCCGTGAAGAGAAATATTATGCTACTGAACAATAGTAGCATGCCACGTTGATATTCTAGAAAACTCAATCATGTTCTGATTGGATGGAAACTCTCCGGCTCATTTAGGGCCTCTGGAGGCTCCGTTGTAGTTCTCGGAAGCCGACTCAACATAAATTAGTAGAATGAATGAACTGAATATTTTCTCACAGAATTTCTATTTTAATCTAACTTAAAAGTACTAGTCACCTGACGAAATCTGTTGTTCAGTCGAAAATTTTATGTATCTACAAATTGTTCAAATATTAGCTTAGTAAAAATGAAATTGACGAAAGCGAAAGATCGTTAAGGTTTATCAGTTGAAATATTGATACAGTTTTGTTGTAATAGACAGCAGACATAATATTTCGTTCTTCTGAATGACAACACTCAATCCTTTATGAATAGGCGTTGTGTTTTACATATGGCGGATGTTTCCTAATCCAAGCAGCAGTTGTAGTAAAAATAGTGTCTGTCCTAACAGGATAATAAAACCATCATTTGTAAATCACATCTTTACTTATTGTCATCAGTCATGCCTGTTTGCAATTTTATCGATGGTTATACATAGGAACTCTACATTATTTTCTTGTAGTAATTATTGTATATCTAATGTCTCGGTACTTAATGTGAGTCTATAAACGAATCACATTATATACATCTGAGAAACTGAGAAAGAAATCATTGATTAGACATTTGTGGCTGATCATCAAGAGAATAGTGATAAATGAATCTGATAATTAGGTTATAAGTTCATAATATGTCAATTATGATAATTATAACATTTTTTGTCATAGAAAAAGATATATTTCGCAGATCATATAGTTTGCCTTCTGATATTCATTCGTTGGTGACAAAAAATTAAAGACCTGTTTTTTTCTGTGAACTCGTTACTTGATCACACATAATCGTCATCATTTATAAGTAATCAACAAGGTACATTTCCAATGTAGAAAAGATAAACATCTGATTCAGTATGTAGTCAATGATGAATGTGAGCCAAAATATATTCACTCACTGTTAATTCTATCGAATAGTCCAACTACCGAAGTAAAAACAACTATTTATATAACGAACTGTTCTAAAATTAAAGAATATGCATAAACGAGTTATAATGCATCTGGGGATCTGGAAAGAGGAAGATTTACTTCATTATTAACACCATAAAGAATGGTTACAACATACAATAGAGTACATAGAACGGCCGGTAGCAGTGTCTATTCCTAATGACATTTTATCAATAAGCGAAATAGGAACAATGAATACACAAGTATAGAAGATAGTAGATTTAAATGTAGATCCAGTGAACGCACAAGACCGAAAATAACTGTGACGAGGTTTGAGATAAATTAATTACGGTACTAAATACAGCAAATGTAATTAGTTTATTTAAATAATTCAAGATATTGCATAATCAACAAACGCGCTGTTTACTGAATATTAACAAGTAGTATAAAACAATATATAAAAATGAGTCAAATAACAATAGGATTCAAGAAAATGAAAATGAACTCAACATCCGTTCTAACTTCAACACTTAAAACTAACCCTCATGAATAATAATACCTGATATTAGTTCATAATGTGAACCCATCAACCAATGTAACCTAATATAACATCAAGACAGTTCTACTGTACGGAGCTGAAACTTGAAGAACTACTACAACCATCATCAAAAAGTAAACAATTGTCTGTGTACGATACTGAATGTCCGTTGGTCGAATACCATCAGCAAAACCTACTGTGGGAAATAACAAACCAGCTTCCAGCTGAAGAAGAAATTAGGAAAAGAGGATGGCAATTGACAGGACATACGTTACGGAAATCTCCAAACTGCATCACGAGACAAGCCCTAAATTCAAATCGTGAAGGGAAACAGAAAACAGGAATGCCAAAGAATACATTACATCGGTAAATAGAATCAGATAGAAAAGAATGAATAACAAGTGGAAAGAACTGTAAAGGATTACCTAAGACAGGGTTTGATTGAGAGTGCTGATGGGCTGTCTATGCTCCTCCATGAAGAGTAACAGGCATAAGTAAGTAAGATGTATGGATAAGATGAATTTGGGACATAAAAGTGAAAATTAATCAAGTTACGTCACTATTGGGGATTAAATAGCGCAGTAGCCCTCTTACCCGTTAGAAATTTTACCAGCCTCGAATTATTTACTTTGATGATAAAGAAGCTTGCAAGTAAACTATATTAAATCCACATGACAAGTTGTACAATATTTTACTTTGGTGAACAAGTGGAAACGTAAACCATCATATGACAAATCATCTTGTTGGTTATTCCATACCTTTTTTTCGTATAGCTAATTATAAACTTATAGCTCAGCACTTCTTTAATATTCAAGCATCTATTTGGGCGTCTATTAGCATACTTTATTATATTAAATCTGTGGATTTGTAATAAACCCATTCAACCATTTTATTATTTGTTTATTTGCTGTAACTTAGACATTTGACCCCACTATGTAAAATTATGTATAAGTCTAATTGAGCTCATGTGTGCATATCAATCTTTAACTATCCTCCAACTGGCTGTAAACATAAACAATCAATAAATTATCCACAATCTATTAACACTCATAAATATATATAAACTTTTTACAATCACACTCACATACTCTCTCTGGTTTCTTTTTGTGCTTTCGGATTTTTATTAATCATTAAGAATATACTTTTTCTACAACTGGTTATTTGACTTTTGAATAATGTCGAGTAGATTCATAATACTACTGGTGGATTTGGCTTGAGTAAATACTCAGTTAAATGGAAACTATTTATTAGAGTTAGATATAAAGGTACTAACCTCTGCAGACTATATACATTAACACAACGATTCATACAAATATTGAATAATACATCTGGGATACAGTTACACCGTGTTTGTGAAATAACATACATTAACAACTTATTCTTCAATTTTTATTGTTACATTATCACCAACACCCTAGAAAAGCTGATCTAGTAGGTGGATTGTTTGAAGTTATACGATACACTTACTGATTAGAGTTAGATCTAGTTACGGAAGTTTAGGTTGATCTACTACAATTTGTCTAAAGTCTGAAACGATTTAATTTAAAACACTTAAGAAATCTCTGTACGGAGCTGAAACTTGAAGAACCACTACAACCACCATCAAACATGTAAAAGTATTTACAAATAGCTGTCTACATAAGATACTCAACATCCATTGACCGAATACCATCATCAACAGCCTTCTGTGTGAGAGAAAGAACCACCTTCCTAATGAAGAGAAAAATTAGAAAACGTCGATGGAAATGGACAGGACATACATTACGGAAATCTCCAAACTGCATCACGGGACAAGTCCTAAATTCAAATCGTGAAGGGAAACAGAAAACAGGAATGCCAAAGAACACATTACATCGGTAAATAGAATCAGATATGAAAAGGATGAATAACAAGTAGAACGAGCTGGAAAGGATTGCTTAGGACAAGTTTGTATAGAGAGTGCTGATGAGTGGACTATGCTCCTCCTCCATGAGGAGTAACAGGAGTAAGTAACTTAAAATATTTCATTCTCTATTGATTTTAATATTGCTAGCATAATTCAACTTATGAACTCTTTCAAAACCTATTGATTATTTTATTTTCAGTAGTATCTTATCAACTGTAAATCATCATTTATAATTTACCAAATAAGAATTCGATTTTATTATTTTTTTTTTCAAAAATAATGTAATTCAATAAATTCATTAGAGGAAATTGTTCATGCAACGGAATATAATTGAACCATCCTCTTTTTCGAGGTTTATATAATATAAAATAAAAATTTACATCATCAAGTACCTAGATGAATTGAAATATAAATACATAAATGGTAAGAGATTGGAATAGATTTGTCTCTTTTTTTTTGAGAGAGAGAGAGAGAGAGAGATTATTTGAATATAACTTCTAGATAAATAAGAATTCATGGTCCTGATGAAACTCTTTCTATAGGTCGTATGATACTTGAATTTCTTGTACGAATTTCTATTGGACTATCATTTTTACTTAAATTATGTTCCATAATATCTGATTCAAGGTTATTGGTATTTGGAAGATCAACTCCACTATCAGCAAAACTAGAACTAAGCTGAAATGAAAATATGAAAATGATTCTTATTACTTTAATTAATATAAGTAGTATAAAAAGTATACATTGTTGTTTCAGTCAACTATTCATGTTTATAATGAAGGAATGAATTGAGCTAAGTTTTGTAACTTTAAGAAAACAGTCAATAAAATAGACGTTGAAATTCAATTCGTTCCTTCTTTATTTACCAAATGGTAAAATGGGAATTTTCACTATATTAAAGTTATTAGTAACATTAAGAAATAAAATTTAGATAGTTAAAGGGATTTGCTTGATCTTAGATTATAAAAGTTCACATGGACTTCTTTTGTATTATTCAATATGAATAGTTCCACTATTAGTTAATCTATTGAGTTATCAACTGAATCAGTAGTTGACTGAAGAAGAGAATCGATTTTCTTCTATGTAGAATCATATATTTATCCTCAAAACGGTTCATGGGAGAAAAAAACACAGCAGATTTAATCATGACGAAAACGTGTTATACTGTCCAAACTAAGGTGAATAAATAATGTAATGAAGAGACATAATGAAAAGGTGTATTTGAAAGTATAAACAGTGGTCTTGAGTGAGTAGAAGATACTCGTAAGCTACTAGTATTTGACCACAGATGTCTTAGAAATATTACTCGCATCTGCTGGGATCACCGGGTAAGTAATAGTGAGGTTAGACTCAGGGTATTAGGAAATGATGGTAAATCAGTTGATGAGGTTGTGAATCTTTATCGACTGAGATGGTTGGGCCACGTGTTACGTATGCCTAAACACCGACTACCACAACGCGCAATGCTGACTAGTATTGGGGATGGCTGGAAGAACGTTAGGGTTAAGAGAATAAAATTACTTTATACCTCTCTTTCTACGAACTAGTTCTTTCTTCCTGTACTATATCCTTATATGCAATCTTTTTTATCACCCCTGAATTAACTACTTTTATGAATCCGGTGTTCATCTTGTTGTGTTAATGAGGTAATGGCAACTTGGAACGATGTATATATGTGCCTGGTCCTACGTTGTAGCTGACTGACTGATTTGAAAGTATATTTCAATTCATCCTTCAGAGTATTAAGTATGAATGTAAATGTTCTGTTTTAATCGATATTGAGCATTATCGTCCAACATCTTCAGTCATTACGGTTATTATACTGACTTCAGCCAGACAGTCTACATTTACGAAAGTATCTGAGATAAACAATTCATAACTTTATGAAGTAATGTCATGTATTGATTTATTTCTTCTTCTTCGTAGTTTTTTCTTCTACTTAATTCTGCATCAAGGAAAATCACTTAAATGAACATGATAAACACTAACTAAGATTAAAAATCAACTAATTTCTTGTATATGATAATATTCCATTTTAAACGATTACTGAGAAATTTGTAATTTTAATAGTTGATGTCATGAGTCAATTGAAGCTAAACAACCATGGCAAACCTGAAAACCATAGACGGCCGTTTCGTCCTATTGTAAGACTCCCCCAACAATGCATATCCATTACCCTTAACTCTTAATTTTCGAACCCAAAGATCTATCACAGTTTCACGCACAAGCGCTTAACCATTAGAGTCATAGATATGTACTGCTGTGAAATCCCACAATCGAATGAAACAACCATTCAGTGCTTTCAGGTTTTTTTTTTGATAATCTATCTTTCATTAACCCATGATTTCAATCATTAAAATAACTATAGTATCCATAAAAAAACTTCTAGATCAATAATTACTTCAAAATATATTACTTACACTCAGAATGGGTTATGTGGAGATTTTTAGAAATTTCACTGGTTGAAATCATGACTCAATTGAAGCTAGACCACCATGGAAAACCTGGAAGCACTGAACGCCCGCTTCGTGTACGGTGGCGCAACTTCGTGGATTGGTTGAAGTTAGACATTAACACCGTTGGATGTCGGCTCAGTAATCTAGTTCGTTAAGCGCCTAGCGCGAAACTGATAGGTCCTGGGTTCGAATCTCGCGAGGGGCGGGATCATGGATGTGCACTGCTGAGTGGTCCCATATTAGGATGAAACGACCGTCCAGTGTTTCCAGGTTTTCCATGGTGGTCTAACTTCAATTGACTCATGATTTCAACTAGTGAAATATTACTTACTATCTACTTAATTAATAAAATATAAAACTTACATTTTCTCTTGGACTTTTATGATATTGTTTATTATCATTACATATAGTTTGTTGTTCTATTTTATTGAATTGTATATTAGATTGTTTTATATTTGATCTATTCTCTATTTTCTTATATAATTCATTATATAATTTCATATTATTATTATTATTATTTTTAATCAATTCCGGTTTACTCATATATTCAATCCATTGTTGTAATGTTAATGTAGCTGTTAAATTATCTGTATAGGCTGATAATGGTGTAGTTAAAGTATTCAATATATTTGATCCATAAATGAATTGATTCTTATTCAATAATTGAAGATGTTTGATGAGATCATTTTGTTGAATTATCATATTGTTATTATTATTATTATATTGATTTATTGGTATTTTTAATTGATCTGATTGATTGATTGATAGATTTTCATTAAATGGATATGGATGTATATGTCGAAGAGGTGGTACAGTAGTATAAAATGAATTCGTATCATTTGTATTCATTCCTGATTGAATGGAATATCGTATAGAGTCTTTGTGAAATTGTAATAAGTTAATAATGATTAGAGTTATGAATATAAATGATAAGCTTATATTGATCAAATAAAACAAACGTAAATAATTAGAAATGTATAATGCATATTCAATAGTTTTAAGTGTCGAATGGGTTTTGATTCGATTTCCTTAGAAGTGATATATTGAATAATGTTTCCTGTTTTCCAATAAGTTTCTAACTACAATCAGTTTGTAATGAAAACTGAAAGATCTAATAATCACCAGAAAACACCTATATTAATAATTCACTTGATGTTGGTTTACTTGTATCTTCTTATTGTTATTTAGGACTGCAATTGATCAGTCTCATATTGGCATATGTACATCCATCTTTGCTAATAAAACTTGTGGTCTAAGGTAATATCGAAACAATCCACACAGGATGCACATATGCCAATATGAGACTGATCAATTACAGTCCTAAACCTCAAGATACAAGTAAATAACACCAAGTGAATTTAAAATCTTCACCTTATTGCGCAAGCAAGTGACCATCAGGACTCAGTAGCTAGTTGGATAACACGATGGCGTTTGAAGCGAATAGTACTGGGTTCGAGTCCCAGAGTGAACATCAACTCTAAGATAAAGGTACATCCAGATGACGAGTCCGAGATAGGAAGAAACGTGCATCCTGGATTCCACTACTATCCACTATCCATCTTTGCTATATCAATAACATTTGTATAACTAAAGAAATTTGGATGAATGGTTGCTTGTCACAAAACTAATAATTAATTGTGAACGTATAATTACGTAAATGCTAAATAATGTTTAGTTATCATTGAATATGATATATGGGATAAGAATTTGAATCATGTACGTTTTAGCCTATACTTTTTCCATGGAAAAATAAACTCTGATAATGTTTTCTCTGTGGAATACGATTTTATTTATGACATTCAAAAACAATAATCATATAACCATAATCGATTACATAGTCGTGATATTCAATTTGATAAACAGGTAAGCAAACAAAATACACTTAAAAATAATAGATTCCTGAAGATAAGCTGAGTGAATTACTCCTAAGGTGTACGATGAACGTCCATTTTGTCTTCATCAATACTTAATGTAGATAAATTGATGCAATAGCTATAAGCTCAACTTTAACCACGATTTTAGTTGAATTCTTCTTAGTATAATTAGAAAATGAACATCTTGATAAGGTTATCAATAAACTAGATCAATACAGAAGAAAATTAATTGGATATCTCACAAATAAAGCCAACAATGTCTCCTCACATGGTAGTATAAAAAAACAGTTGGAGTTTATGAATAACATAATGGCTGAGATTTTTTTAAAAGAAGTTCACATATGGGGGGAAAAAGATAAGATGGAGATACTGATCATCCTTAAAAAACCTCTTTTGCTAAAGCTACAGTACAAAGGGGGTATAGCTAGATACGCCTTGCATGAAAGACTAGGATGAGCAATCGACCTGGAGTTGACATCTTTTAGTAGACCAGTGACATTTACTCAAACAAAGAAAAAGGTGTCTGAGTTTGCCTCCTCAATCTGCATCTATAAATTCAGCAGATCCCGTGGAGATAGCTATACTGGGCGTACTTCCAGACAAACTAACTAACGAATGAGTTAACATCTATCAGCTTGGTTTGGAAAAGGTCAGAAAAAGACAAAAGGTAACTCAATCTTGACAGTGGGGTTATGGTAGATAAAGGTGAATCATTTCGAGGGATCTATCATTCCCGTCTCCTACATATAGCAGAAGCGATAGGGATATGAACCTATAACCTTATTTTATGTATCTAGAGGAAATTCGTGACACCACTGTCCATTCCTTGACTGGATGTAACCTAATATCATTCAATAACTAATTACTTACACGCCCTCTATTGAGTAATTTCAATAGTGTCTTTTAGTTATTAAAGTCTATTTATCCAAGTTTAAGTTACTTACTATGTTGAACCGTTGATTAGAGCTTCAATTATATTATTATACTTAAATCATAAATTGCCTTGAGCAGTCTAAATTCTTCGAATAAATATTCATGTATATTAGAGTTAATCTTGGTGCAGATTTAATTGAAAGCAATAATGTTCGCTTATATGTGCTGTTCTAATAATACTAATTATAATAAGTATGATTATCCCAAGCAAAGTAACTGAACGAGTTGACTGACTACTAATCGATTGGAGTCAATATGTATACTAAGAAATGGTTTAGCCAAAAAGAGAATATTCTAATTAACTGAACATTAAAATAAAGGGAGTAGGTGAGTCTGTTAACCTAATTCATATTCTATCACATATGCATTAGGTAGTTTAGTAGCTTAAATAAATAATAATAATAATAATAATTAAGACTAATCAGATCAAGTCATCACTAAGTAATGTTATGCATATGTATGTATTCTCTGATGTAAATGAAGAAAAAGAGGACTTTATTGAAATATTATTGTAGAGTTTTCCTTAATTAACCAAGGACATAACTTTGTAAAAATAAAGTCATTACTGTTACTAATATGGTGTACATGATAATGGTAACAGATTCTAAAATCATTACCGATATTATAACAAATAACAGGGTAATTTTTCTGTGAATCACTGGTTAAACTATATATACTTTCTAACTATTGGATGATTAATTCACTTGATATTGTTTTATTGTCCCAGAGTGAACATCAACTCTGAGATGCAGGTACATCCAGCTGACGAGTCCCAAACAGGACAAAACGCGCGTCCTGGATTCCACTGCTAGCCACTATCCATCTTTGCTTACAATATTGGATGATTAGTTGAAAGAATATTACATCTAATTTGGTTCAAACAACTAGATAGGTAGGAAGAATGATTCATAAGGACTCTAGACTGTTTGTACGGGTTGACGCGTTATTGATCCGGTTGATAAATTATTGTTCTCTATTCGGCGGTATCATTAAGTTATATAATAATAAAGTAAAAGGTCACGAATTATAATAATTGACAAATGAGGTGAAAAAAGAATCAATGTTAGCCAGTAATTAGTTGAAAATCAGTAAAATTATTTCGAGCAATTAGCATATAGAATTGTTGTTGGTATCCTTGAATGACATTGGTTGTTAATTCGTCATACAGTATTTTTTTTTAGTATTACTGTACTGATTCAGACAGAAACAGAAAATGGTTCTCCCTACGGATCAATTTCAGAAACAATAAAAACAGCCAGTTGAAATCTATAGAGATAACTTACGCAGATGGCTGTTGAATCATCCATGCTTTGAAGATGTGATGCAAATTAATCAATTAACGAAAATAAATATGATGACTGTATGGCATAATAATTCTCTTAATATTAATTTAATTAACATTAATTACATTTCAAGTCAATAGAGTTAAGTAAGTTTTTATTATAAATTAACGAATCAGTATAGTTTAATGTTTAGAGGCTTTACAAAGGGGCAACAAAGCTGTTACAACATTGTCATTATCATATATGTATATTTACATGATACTTGGGTTTTATTTACTTAAAGAAGTAAGGACATACAGTACTTATTGACTATCTATGTATATATGTTGAATATACAAAACTAACTTAGCTGAACTTTCATACACCTTTTTGCGAATCCCTTATATGCTAATGTTTTTATACTAGTTTTATTCGATTCTTAATACGATGGATAAGCTACACTTAATGGGGGTAACCCAAGGAATGATAATAATAATAATAATGACATTGTTATTATTATTAGTTATGTTTCTTATCATTAATAAGCCTAATTATCAATGACTTTGCAAATAGCCTCTTTTGTAAACAAAACTAAAAGGTAGTCTAATTTTTAGATAATATTCATAAGCAAATTTGTAATTAATAGAATACTAGTCATTTGTATATAATAAAGAAAATGAATAATAACGGTGAACTAAATATCATACTGTTGATAAGGCTAATGTTTGTATGACTTCGTATTGTTGTTGTTGTTGTTGTTGTTGCAAACTCTGTTACTTATCAAGCATAATTGTGTTATCTACTTGGTGGTCTATTTCGAACTGATATCATAAATGGAACATTATATATATCTACATATATAGGGAGAGAAAGAGAGAGTTATACTTATGGAAGTTAAAGAAGGATAATTTTCCTAGTATCAACTTGGTCATGAAATATTTAGCAAATACATTCTTTTCTACTTCAAATAAAGAAACTTTATTCTAGTATTTAGGTGAACAACAACAGACTATTGTCATTTTTCAAAAATTAACAATGATTCATCATTGTAGCCTTAGTTTCTCTGGGATAGTAACAGTTTCTAGTTCACCTGATAACACGTTTGTGATTAAAACTAAAGTGAAGAATAGTCCAACTATTACTAGAACCTACCACAATTTAAACTATTAATAACCAATAAAACTTGGGAAAACCATTATTTGTATATTTTTATAAGAATAGGCTACCGAATAATAAATTACTTATCTTGAGTTCAAAAAGATCTTTGATTAGGGAAACAAAGTGAATTGACTTAATTAATCTAATTCACAGAACTTTGTTCATCTTTTCTGAATATCGATGATTGGAGATTTTTGTAGACTTTTTCTAGAGAGTATACATTAGTACAAAAATCGAAACTATTGTTTCAGATACATCAAATTCAAATACCAATTAATCGAATACTTTAATATGTATAAGATGAAAATCAGTAATCAAATTGAACTACTCAAAGTACTTTTGAGTAGTATGTTGTAATGAATAAATTTTACATGAAATTTCCTATTTGAATAACTTATTCATCGTAATATTGTAGGATGACGTAAATTACTTTCATTTCATGTTTCCTAAATCTTCCTCATACACAATTTATAAATATATTATTTCATAAATGTAGGTTTGTATATAACCTTTACAGAACACTAAATAGCTTCAATTTATCCCAAAGTGCTATATAAAAAAATGAATCGCACACAGGAGTTATTCAGTAAATTTTAAGACTAGCTTCTGACTGATAATCAGGCAGAGTAATTGTGAACATTTAAGTTACTCTTAAGCAAATGGTACTTGATATCTGAACCTCAATTATGCAAACAAAATGATCATGTACTTCAGCTAACACTATCATAGTGATCGAATCGCTCCTGCTTTTTCCTTCATTTTTTTTCATCTTTTTCATAATATTTAAGAATCTGTTTTGTTTGTCTCATCTACCATCTTTACCCTTTTCTTTTGCTTAGTCGCACTACCGATTTTTAATGTAGAGATAGAATAACTAGTTGTACTGTATTAATAATACCCAATAAGACTTTTGAGTCTTAGCCAGTTTAGCTATCCAAGTATTAACATTTTTTCTTAGAATCTTTGATAATTGTTATAATTATTATCAGTAGTACGTTGGGTTTTTTCAAAAATAAAGTTAAATTTTAATTAAATTATGAACTGATCCTAAGGAGACCAATACTGAAGAACTATGAAGCACTGGACAGTAGTTTCATCTTAATCAGTAGGCATCTTTTTCTCACTGAGAACGCTTAACTCTTATGTCATAGTTCATTTCATGGATCAGTGGTGTAAAAGTAATGCATTTGCAGGCAACAACGAAAATCCCATATTCGATTCTCGGAGTTGAGGTTGTAAATGGACACAGATGAATAGTCAAATACTATGACGAAACAACTGTCCAATGCTTTCTGATTTTCAGTAGTATTTCAGTGAAAAGTAGTTCGTGATCTAACTATGGATATAATAAGAATACTAATAACTAATTTTATCATTGTCATCATCATTATGACTACCCTTTCATTGTTTTGATAATTTAAAATAAAACTATAGACCACATTGATATCATTTCATTGATATTCAGCGTGAAACTATGATCAGTTAATTTTCAAATTTTTGATTGAGATCATGAACCGATTGGTGTTGAACCACTATTAAAAACCTGAAAACACTGGACGGCCGTTTCATCTTACTGTGCAACTCCTCAGAAGTGCGCATCCAAGATCCCGCTCAAGGGATTCGAACCCAGCACTTTCGTTCTCGTGCGCAAACGCTCGACCTATAGACCACTGAGCCGTCATCCAACGAAAAGTCCCTCCAATGCTTCCAGGTTTTCAATGGTGGTCTAACATCATCATCTCAATCAAAAACTTGATAATCTCCAGAAACCTATACTGATAATTTTTAAATTACTGATTTACCATTAAGGAACGAAAACAATTTAATATTGTAGTGGCTGGTACCTATATCAAGCCCACATAGGTTATTCTAGCTTCTGGAAAGACCAGTTTATTCATTCTTCTCAAGCCACATTTTGACCTTATCACCTATTCGCTTATTAAGTCTAACTGTATTGATATGATCGTATGTGTGTTATTTATTTACACTGTTCATCATGTGTTTGTAACCTATTTTTGTTTGACTATAAATATCGAGTCACACTTGATTGAGTTGTCTCATTCACCTTCTCTACTGTGCATCATTTTATTTCGCTTCTTTCTCTTCTCTTCTCTTCGTTTCTGTGATCGTCTCTCTGGATCAACGATTGTATGAAATATACATATACAAAATTCATCCTTGTATTTGACTTACTTCATCCTGTTATTCACTAATGCGAGTTAAGTCGATGATTATACACGAAAACAGCTAGGATGTATATTTCGATGACAATCAGCATATGAACTAACTTGAGTCAGATATAGGGCAACTAAATTATTACTTTAATGTATCAATTTTGAATGTATTTTTTGAAAAAAAAACATGATAAGGAATTGCTTTATTGATAATGAAAGCAACTGAAAGGAAGTTTAAAAATTGATTGAACTATTAATCGACATATATAGAATAAGTCATAATGATATATACATTGCTATTCTATAATTGATGGACGAAGGAATCAGTTAAAAGGTAATAGGTCTTGGATTTTGGCATGAAATTCACTCATCTATCTAGTTAAATGGAGTTTTTGGATTATAGTTGATATCAGTTCGTGATGAAAGCCCTAAATCTAATTCCTAACCTTAACCATCAACTGTAAATCATAATTCTAATTCCTAATACAGGTTTATAATCCTGATTTGGTCTTAGTTATTAGGTGGACACTCACAAGGTCAGTCTAACGTCATCCATAAATTATAGTCTCACTGATATGTTATTGCATATAATTGCTTACCTTGATGTCCTATTAAAGGTAAACTGACAAGATCATCTGGTTTAATGAGAAATGGATAGATTGAATTGGCAGTATATGATAAACTAGTTGGCTGTGAGGAATCACATGAAATTTCTTTTCTATTATTTATATTGTTATTGTTGTTAGTTTGTAAAGAATTTAAAATATTTTTACCAATTCCTGAATAATCAGATTGTGTTGTAGGAGATAAAGTTGAGTTGAATCTATCCAAGTGAAATTGTGATAATTCATTGACAGTTGAATCCGAATCAATATGTGAATAGATAGATGAAGACTGAAATGGAACGGGTAAACAGTAATTATTTGATTGTCAGAACATGATATATATATATATGTATATGCAAATCAAAGAATGGAATTAAATGAGACATTCAAATGATATGAACTAAGATTTCCAGAGAAAGAGCATTCGGAGGAAAATAAGCTGTAACAATTAGAAGTAATTTAACTTGAAACTATTTCAAGTGGTTTATTTATGAATATAGGTTATTTTCTAGAGATCGTAGAACCTTCTTAATTTAAATCACCAATTGATTCTAGCTAGACCAACACTGAAAACCAAGAAGCACTGATCAATTGTTTCATTATAGTATGTAGTTCTTCAGTGATACTCAGCCATAAACCCGTCATGTTAGTTTGGACTCAAACTTTAGGTCATATACATGAACATTTTTTAACGTCTAGGTCACTAAGAGATGATTTTACTATCCATAATCATTATGTTTCAACATGTGATTAGTTTCAAAATGTAATTCCTATAGTTCTAGTGCGAAACCATCAGTAATCAAGCATTATTAACAGATATTTTGTAACAAAAGGATAAAGGATTTATTGTGAATGGTGACTTGAAAGCAAAGGAACATTATGATATAGCGAATTTCAAATTTCATGGCAATTTATTTAAGTCTTTAAACATTTCGAATGTAATATTTTAGAATTGTGTATCTGACTAAAGTGAAACCCAATTCTGATAATGATAGCTGCCCTTATGGTTCAATAAAAATGTTAATAAACCTGAGCGTGTTCTAAACGTAGGTACTAGTTTGAACAATATTCAAAGGTGATTTCTAGAAGTATATAAAGAACATGTTACCTTTATCCTTTATTTTAATGTAAAAATAATGAGTAGGGTATGTGAACACTTTTCTTTTTCACTTCTAAAATAAAACATCATGCCCTTAAACATTTGATTTATAAACTATGATGAAGTAAGCCCAGATTATGAACGTGTATTTTTTTTCAAAGGAAATGACCAAAAAGACTTTAGAATGATCAATATTGGTCCCACAAGTGAATTTTTTAAAGAAAAACTATCTTCCCACAAACTGCTTGCCATGAAAGTTTGTTCTTCCGAATAAGGTCTAAGAAACTAACTAACCAGATAGTTAGCCATGTTACAGATTTTACTTCATTTAATCAATAGTTTCCACCATAAACTGCCTTTAACTGGATCGCTATTGGAAATCAGAAAGCGATGGATAACTTTTCGGGTATTCTGTTGTCTTGAGACGCAAATTTATATGATGTACTAAATCCACTAAACAGAATTTCTTACCACATTTTTTTTCTATCTCGCGTCTGCCATCCCATCCACGCCCTAGTGTTAATTTCATTCGGCGAGACTATAATTTATGGAGGGACCAATCAGGTAAAAGATAATAGGTCTCGGATTTCGGCGCGAAATTAATCTATTCATCCATTTGGCTGAATAGAGTTTCGGCATTATGGCTGATGTCAGTTCGTGATGAAAAACCTAAATGTAATTCCTAACCCTAACAATCAACTGTAAATCATAATTCTAATTCCTCACACATGTGTATAACCCCCATTCAGTCCTAGTTATTAGGTGCACACTCAAGGTCAAAGGTCGTCCATATATTAAAATCTCACCTTTCATTCTTATTGGATCCTCAATACACACTTATTTCCAACCTCTGTCTTGAGTTTGAAAGAGAAAACTGAGACCAAGCCTCTTAAATTATATTTCAAAAAACAACCCAGCCAGCACATTCACTTCAAATATTCGGCTTATATACACGATTTATGAAGTCGCACAACAAATCAAATAAGAAATTACAATTTAAGCACAGTCATAAGCGGTAGAGAAGATAAAAATAATTGAGTAAGAGTAACACGCATAACACTGGGTCAATTAGAAGCTAACATAAAGGATAACATCCAAATACAATAATACAGTTATCTACAATAAATATATAAATAATACTATTGTGAGAATTAGTTCAAAAAGTTCTAGTTTTTCCAGTAGTCTTGTCAGTGTTTATCCGTGATCTCTAAATATTTCGAAGTTGGGACCTTCAGCAGTTGATGTGAGAACATTATATTTCTACCGTCAGGTTAGTGTCTACTGATTTCATATTACCAACTCCAACAATTTCGTGTTATTGATCGACCATCATTTATTATCAGTGATGATGTATACCTTATGGTTGATATAATTCTAGTTTATTAGTCATAGTTTCTCTTCAGAAACCCATAAATATAATTGACATTAGGAAGATTCAGGACGATTGTCCCCTAGTATTTGTTCTTTGTTTTAGTAAAATAATTTGCTAGTGAGGGATACTACCCCTAACTCAGAGTCTGGAAAGTCGGAAAAATGAAAATTTCGCAAATGCGATAAAAATGATCTTGGTGGTCTAGTTATAGTATTCCGGCACCAGACAGCGGGTTTTAAGCGTTATTTAAGCCCTAACGCTTCAGACTGGGCTATTTTGCTTACTACTCTACATATCTGTTGTATGCAGTATAAGTTATGTGGCTATGTGGAGCTGAAGGTCTCAAATGGCGCTGGAGGTTCGCCATTGGTATTGTGGATGGTTCGGCATTGCTTTGGCAAGTTTTGCTGACTCTTCATGCAAAAAATTGGTTTGCTGGTTAACCGACTTCATTCATACTGGTGGTTGCTTATCAGTGTTCCCGAGGGCCATTGTCATTGGGACATTGTAAGGCATGTCGCGATTGCTAACATTAGCGAGTTTGACTGTCGTTTAAGCGGAATAGGTCAACTTTGGCCTGTTCGTGTTGTGCATAATTGATTCACGCGATCATTGATCGGAATAACTGTACACGTAATGTGAATGTGTATATGAATGGTGCGAATGGTCCACCAGGGTGCTTGATACCTGTGTGGTTGCCCCATAGGATTGAGCTGTACTATTCCGATTGTAGCGTTAAAGCCTATACGGTGTCTGGTTCTCCTGTGAAGCGGGATTGATCTGTACTGCTCGGTTTATAAAATTTAAACCTGAGTGGTGTCTGGCTCTCCTGTTAAACGGGGTTGAGCTGTACTGTCTGGGTTGTCACGTGAAAGTCCGGATGGTGTCTGGTTCTCCTGAAAACCAATGTAAAATTACCCTGGCCCATAAGGGTATATTATATAACTGTGAATAAACTAGTTGATCCTGCTATTAGTCATTTGCTTGTCTCATATTACAATTTGCTAGTGAATGTTACATCATAATAAATGACCATAAATCAGCTATTTCATTCTTATTTGGAACAAATTGTTAGTTTTCACACATCCGATTTTATCTTATTATTGTTTGTCTAGCCAGAAACTAATTTAGGTTTAAACTGAATTTGATCTATTTTCAAAATCAACGAATCCGTTTTCAAAAACCACCAAACAAGATACATTTTTTCAGTTGTATGCTTTATCTTGGAGTGTAAATGAGATCACAATTAGTACTTATCTAGTACTGCATTAATATGAGATTCAGATAAAGAGAATGTGATTACCAGTTGGCTGTATATAGAAATTACTTTGCGTGATTACAACTTTATAAATCATATACTAATTGCACTAAAAACAATGTTAGACTTTAATTTGTATTTCATTCTGATATCCCCAATAAAAATTTTTAAAAAAATCTTGGCGCTAAAATAAAATGTGGGTGATTTAAGAAAATAAAAGCAACTTTTAACCGCTGTAAAATTGTTGTCAACGATCACATGACAACAACTACAAAAATCAATAGATTAACAAAGTAAAGTGAATAGAGTCTACAGATATGCAAAAATGAAAAAAAAAAACAATTTATGGACTGGGATGAAATAGTGTGTTACATAATCAAATGCTAGGAACTCAATTCACCAGGATAATGGACCATTAGGATGATGATTAAAAATAAGTTAACACTGGAGCTCAAGTAAATTAATTTACCAGTTAAATGGAATATTGTAAACAACTATAACGTGGCTTCAATGTTTTGCTGGAGCCTATGATTCTTTCTTGAAAGGGTCTTTTGAATCCAGGAAAGCATTGAAATTAGTCTGATGACTGAGTGTTTCTAGGTTATCTACCTATAGAATTTTAGGAGACGATGAATTGCATTTCCATCATTCTGATTAAAAATTACTAACGTACCTACCTACCTACCTACCTACCAGTTTTATCATGTTTTCCAGAGGTTTCGTGAGTCTCAAGCCATATTCAATTGTATAATGACCCTCATATTCTGTGCAAAAGATCCGCAATACATCCTACCCTTTGTTTCCTGTATGAAATTCAAGAGTGGAATACTAAGTGGCAGTTAGGAAGTCGTCGTCCAAACGTTCAACTATAAGAATTACTACAATGATTAAAAACGTGTTTTTACTCGATGTCAAGACATTTGAGATAAAATGTAGCTTTAAAAAAAACAAAGTTTATTAAATAGTAGCTACCTGGTCATTTGTAAGTTGATTATCCTTGTTTGAAAGTTTATTTGCACCATTGAACTGCTCTCCAACAGTGATATCTTGAAATATTCCATCTAAACTCCCAATCTGATTGCCTACTTGACCATCTGAGAAGGTACCATTAATTGATTGATGCTTTGTCTGTTTCAGTAAATAATCTTTGTAAAGGGGTAGTAATGGAGAACTATGTATTACGTTTTCATGATTATGATTTTTCATAAATGCTACTTTTGCTTCATTAGAATTTATAATTGGCCAATATGTCTTCAGTGTTTCATCAAGAACCATAGATTTCCTACAATTACTTTCACATGGTACTTGAGACTGTTGTATCCACTGTGTTGGATGTTGTAATGTAGCAAAATTATTCAAATCTGTAATCAAATTCTGTTGATCACCTAAAGATTGTAGATGAAGATTACCTGTAGTACGTGGAAATGTTTGATGATTATCACTTGTTGAAATTGGTTGAGATTGAAAGTTTTCCCATTCAGTAATTGTTCTCTGCTTTGGAGTTTCAGTTAGTTGTGAATCACTTAAGCCACCAAAATAACCTAATGAGGAAACATTTTATGCGGTACATTGTAATTATATTATAAATAATGAAACGATCAGGTTGTCTTAATTAATATAGTCAATATAAAATACCTTTTTGTATGAGACTGGAAAGTGTATCAGTTTCAGTAAAATGAATCTATGATTATTCATTAATTCTATAAAATTTCAACAGTACGAAATCAATTTTGGTAATGTGAAAAGTTTCACTTAAATGTTTTCTAACCATAAGTGTCTACGGACCAGCAATGAGATCATTATCTCAAAGATTTGATCTATCGAATATAACAAAGAGTCATCAATCTATTTTCATTCACCTTTATTTAACAGATAACTTAAATATGAAGATATTTGAAATCAAGCAGAATCGTTTCACCAATAAAAGTACATATTCACGTGGTATTGTTTTCTTTAATCTTCTTTATTGATGTTTAGGACTTCAATTGATCATTCTCTTATTGGCATATGTGTATACTGTTCGTATTGCCTCGATATTGCCTTAATTCACAAGTGTTCTACGAAAATATGGATAGTGGATAGCAGTGGAATCGACGACGTGCGTTTCGTCTTATCTGGGACTCTTCAGCTAGATGTACCTGCATCTCGGAGTTGATGTTCACCCTGGGACTCGAACCCAGTACTATTCGCTCCAAACGCCATCGCGCTATCCACTTAGCTACTGAGTCCTGATAGTCACCTGCTTGTGCAATGGGTTAAAGTTTAAATTCACATACATAGTACATAGTATAAAACTACTTAATAAATTTCTTGAAAAATTAATGTTGCCAATATTTATGTTTAATTTCTTAAGTTATATCAATTCGGAATCAGTAGGGCCAAGGTGAATCTTGTCGTACGTACAAACCAATTGAGAAATCATTGAAAACTAGTGAATACTGAGCACTTGTTTCGCTCCACCGTGAAAATTCTTAAGTGGTTTGCGACACAATTCTAACGGGGTTCAAGCGCAAGACCCTTAGGTCACGTGACAAGCGAACTATGTAGGTGGTCATGAGTTAGATTCCTTTGCTCTATATTTCCAACATTGATCACTCAGTGCTGTCGTATGATATCACTCAACGAAATATATATGGATACCTGTCATGTTTGACCCAGAAATGTTGATGCGGATCAGCTATCCAGTACACCCTGTTTCTCCAGCGTTCCTCAGCTAATAAAAAACAACTTCTTGGGAGTAAGCAACCTCGATCCCGAACGTGGGACTTAAACCTCAGAACCCTCGGTATCGAGTGCGGATGCTTAACCCCTAAACCATTGAGTTGGCCGGCATCCAACGGTGTTAATGTCTAACTTCAACCAATCCATAATATTGTGCGACCGTCCTCCATTGTCTTCAGTGAGTAACTGCCTCACAACAGACCCCGTTGAACTCCACCGGTCACTGCTTCTCACTAGTACTCTAGAAAATATCTCTTGAAGTCAGTCACTAGTGAGCATATGAAGTTTAATATCATAAGGGGTGTTATGGAGATTGTAATAATTTCAATAGTTGAGATCACGAGTCAATTGAAAGGATACGGCCATCCAGTGCTTCGACTTTTTCCATGGTGATCTAGCTTCAATTCACTCATGATCTCAACTATGGAATTTACAACAACATCCACAAAAACCCTTTCTGAAATTAATTATATATTTAACATTTTGAAGCCAGTTGATTAACTGAAGTGTTTGTTATAGAAGAGCTTACTCACTTTCGTAAGTACCTATTTCTTCTGCTTCTTAGTCATTCTAATATAAAGTCAAAATGTTAATATATTTGGCTTATGCAACAAAAATTCAATGAATAAATGAATTCATAATCAATAATTTGAGGTCCACTTACAATAAATCAATTAAAGTGCCTAGTGATTGCTGTATCATGACAAGACCTACCCACTATCAAGTATCAACAGGCAATATCAAGGAATAAAATTATGAAATATATGAAATGCTTCTATTTATGTAAAACTACATTATTTCAGCATAAACAATTACAAATACAAGTCAAATGTTGAACACATACCTCTAGGATATCGAGATTTCAAATGTAATCGATACCATATACAAAATGTAATCAGTGCAATGAATATAATTAGTAATACACCAGCAAGTGAACCAAGTATTACAATTAACACATAACTGTCATGTTGATAACTTTTAGTTAATTTACCATTTAAATCATTTTTATTACCAATTTGTCCTGTCATTTTAGATTTTATATTTGATGTTGATTGAGCAAATGAATCCTGTGTACAATGAGAAAAAGTAAACATTTATAAGTATGAGAGTTAAAATAATACAGTATCCGATGTATATTTCATTCAGTAAGTCAATGATAAATGTATTTTAATTTATTCTATGCTAAAATCAGAAAACGAATTCTGCAATCAATTAGGTATGAGTCTTGATTATTGATCATATCAATAGTGATTTGTAGTTCCCCACTATTGAAATAAGGGACTGAAATTGGCTAACCTATATCATCATATGAACATTCTGAGTGGATTCCCTCTCTATAGCTATTTGTAATATGTTCTGTTGAATCGTTCAAAGCTAATATTATGATGTTCGAATCTCAGCGTGGATGTCTTTACGAGGATGTAGTCTGGTTGTAGTGAACGATAACACAGGCAAGGATAACCAAATATGTTTGAAAACAAAATTACAGAATTATTTGGTGAAATGTGAATGGTACATGTTCAATACTTCATTCGCAAATCGTCCATCAATTGTATCAATCCTTGTTATACCTTCGTTTCTATACCAATCACTCTCTGTTCTCATTCTCATCAATCCGATCTTCTCAATCTTCCACTGATAAGCATCCCACTTTTATTTGGCGTTACAAACTACTTATATCTGTCAACACAAGTAGTACATATTACAGGTTGACAAGTCCCAGATGAAGATAAACAAGTAGCCTGAATTCCAGTGTATTAGAAAATTCGAGTATCATTGAAACCATGAAGTAATTTAGGTTAGATCACCAATTAAAATATAGAAACACTTGATGGCTGTTTTGTCCTACTACGGGACTACTCAGTAGTGCTCATCTATGGTCCCGAACACAGGAATCGAACCCAGTGCCTTTGGTCGGGCGCGAGAACAATTAATCTCTAGACCACTGGACTGGCGAGGTCATGCATACGTACTGCTGAGCAACCCTATATTAGAAATGCAAGGCCGTCCAGTGCTTCTAAGTTTTCAATGATAGTCTAACATAGATCGTTTCATAATTTCAATAAAATCCAGAAATCTCCACAACATCATACTGAAAATTCAAATATATTACATCTATTATACTGTTCATGTAAAAATGCCTTCAAAATTTTGGATAATATTAAATTCAATTAAATATAAATTCCTTCTATTATTTAACACTAATATGTTTATCGTAACTTTCAATATTACAGAATTATTCCTCACAGGCACACATGTATGTTTATTAGAATACTTAGGACATATAAACTTACAGTTTTTACTGGAAATTGATCTTTTAACTCAAATATCTCAAAAATAACGTCTTTAATTGTAATAATGAATCAATCAAACAGGAAGCTCTATGATTTACTCAATGAATGCCATAGTTTCCACTTCACTGTCTCTAACCATGTGACACCCTTCTTCATTTTTTTGACATTTAGCGGTTGATTTAATACAGTCTCATAGAAATGTTTCAAGCCTATACGGATAACGTTTTAAATAATATGAAACTGAGCTTTAGTCGATACGTAGCTCATTATAACTCATCTTTGAAATCTTTGGTTAGAATTGGCTTAGTAAGTCATAATGATGTTTGAATTGACCAATACTTATATTTGGACCTCTTCTTGGGACACAGTAGTAGCGAATATATAATTGTAAAGCCTGAATATAAAGTAGTTATTGAGTTCTAATCTACACTGACGTCTTCTAATATTAGATGAGAAATTTGCAATTACATTATAGTTTAAATCCTAAAAGTAATTCGGTAGGTTGCATGTAATATTTAAGGGACTTGTGTAAATGTTCGTGTCATTATGAGATTGGTTTTAACTGAAATGATGTGACATTTTGTCAAGTGATAATTACTATCATCAACAAAATTGATAATGTAATGCCTTTCAAGGCACGAAATAACAGGAGACGAAATAGTTGACTAGATCATTTCTGGCAGAATAGTACATTGCTAGTTCAAATTTTATGCATAAAAACAAATCTGGTTAAAAACTCATTTGAAATTCTTTAGCATACGAGTTCAGACTAATCTCCAGTAGAGAAAAATTGATAATTTCTAATCAAACTAACTTCTTATCACTTATATAAATAGTACTTTCTGAATAATATTCTTAGTTTAACCTTGATAAATATATTCTACCTATCAAGCATTAGGAAACATTTCAGTACTGTCTATAAATGTGTTATATATAAGTACACTTTCACTTCATGTACAGGTTTCTGTTGATGATATCGTTCAGAAGAACGATGAAAGCTTCACGACTAAACTATCCAGCTTAAAGAATAAAATTCCATTAAAATCATCTACCTGAGCTACAAATCTTCTTCACCATCATGCAGCAATTTGGAAAACTCTCCCAGTCTCCCACATTGTACGAGCATTCGATGTACCTAAATAAATGGTTGCTCTGGTTGTCAGAAGAGACATCGGCCTCGTGACTTCCGAAGGAACACGACTTTCATCATGAGGCGTCATAACTCCTAAATGAAGACCTTCTGATTCTCAGAGCAGAGTTTAAATAGCTTAAATAATTTTTTCTGGTTAGTGTATTTGTAGCAAATTAGTTTTTCACAGGATGGGGTCGCTAACCTTATGCCCAATCCTCCTCATTTGTCGGGCTTGGGACCAGCAGTAGCCCTCGGAGGGACTCCAGGCGGAGTTCTTCACCATCATATAAGTATGTTAATGATAGATAATCAAAACCACTGTGAGGAGTGATAAACAAACAGCAATTTAAGCCAATATACTTACCGCCATTTTATTTATATTTTCATTAGTTGAATTATTTGCAAGAAAATTATTTTCATTATTCAATGATGAAGTAATATTTGGTAAAGTTTTTTGAACAGCTTCATTACTTAAACGAGTAAAGTATTTTTGATGTTGATAATGATCAATTTTTGTTACTTCAATATAAACAGATACCTAAAAATGAAACAAACTAGTAAGTTAAAAAAGAAAATATATTTTGAATATATTACTTATAATCCAAAATAGGTTCTTTAATTGAACACTACTAGTCGAGTTAAAGCTTATGGTGAACTGTCATCTGCTTTCGCAACTTCAAGTGGTGTCCGTCTAGGTTGTCCACTTTCTTCATTTTTCCTTTGTTTAACTTCATCATAGACCTACTGATGGAAATAATGCTCTCGTCAATTGAATTCTCAGGAATTGATCTACCAGGAAGTCCATTTATCAACTTAGTATACTCAGATGATATAGTCCTGTTTGGTAAAGACGCTGATAAAATAAAGAGTCTTTTGGTAGCCTTGAGAAACAATGCCAGAATGTTTGGAATGCGCTATTTTCCCTCTAAACGCAAATGTTTGCTACAGGACTGGCCTAAGTTAACACCTTAACTAAGAATAGGGAGTGAATTAGTCGAACGCGTTGACAACTTCACTTATCTTGGAAGTCTGATCAGCACAAATGGGTTGGTGTCTGACGAAATCTCAGCACGGATTCGAAAAGCGCATTTGGCTTTTGCCAACTTACGTCACCTATGGCGAAGGCGAGATATCCGTCTATCAATTAAGGGGTGAGTATACTGCGAGGCAGTTCTTTCTGTTCTGTTTTACGGCTGCGAAACATGGCCATTAAGAGTCGAAGATACTCTTCAGTTACTAGTATTTGACCACAGATGCCTTAGAAATATTGCTCGCATCTTCTGGGATCACCAGATAAGTAATAGTGAGGTTAGACACAGGGTATTAAGGATTGATGGTTATTCAGTTGGCAAGGTTTTAAATATTCATCGACTGAGATGATTGGGCAACGTGTTACGTATGCCTGAACACAGATTACCACGATGCACGATGCTGACTAGTGTTGGAGACGGCTGGATGAAAGTTAGGGGCGGCCAAACCAAGACGTGGCATCAGTCCTTAAAATCAATAACTTCCAGTCTTAGTCATGTTGTTAGATGCAGATCACTTGGTTGGGATCCGCGTGACTGTCGTAACCAATGGTCTGAGACTCGAGGTGACATGGCTTAGAATTGATCACAATGGCGTAGTTGTATACACTCTCTGTTTTCCCTTAAACTATGAGATTAAAATTGGTTCATATCTTTCTAACAATTCATTCTTTCTTCCTGTACTATGTTGTTATATGCAATCTTTCTTTCATATATTCTATGAATCCGGCGTTCATCTTGTTGTGCTAATGAGTTATGGAAACTCGGACCGATTCACATGTGTGCCTGGTTCTACGTTGTAACTGACTGACTGACTGAATCTAAACTGTAGATTTTGGAGGGAAACATTAAGAATAATTATGATAATCAGTTAGTGTTTCATAATATTCTGTTATTTCTAAATGAAGATTCACAAGCATGAGGGTTTTATTTTGATAACTTATAAAATATATTCCCTTAGTTGAGGAACAATAGGTTGATTCATACGATGATGATGACTTTATAATGAAATTAGTTTTTGGGCATTCTAAGTAGATGGGAACATCTAGAAACACTGTTTGATTAAGAACGCAGTAATTAGTAGGTGAACATTTTTTTTAAGGAGAACATCACAACTTAAAATTGTAAAAACTAATTTTGTCACTGTTATATCTCGATGAAAATTATGAATGGTAACTTTTAGGAATTATTTACGGACCAATACGATACATATATTTTTACTGTATATTTATTAAGCAGCTAAACTATCCATATTTGTGTTCCTCTTGTTATAAGCTTTATTTCGACCTATGAACTATTATTATACTTTTTAATTTTCTTGAGTTACGCCCAGTCTACTAATTACAGTCTTCCACATTCACAGGCATTTTTGGCTAGATCTTGTACAAATATTATTTTCTATTTTCTGATACGATATGGTCTGTTTGGTTTGTATATAAACTCGGTATGTTTGAAATACATAATTCATATCGTAGAGGCTGAGATTGATGTTCAGAACTTAACAGGCAAAACTAGGCCGGAAGCCGAACCGATAAGGACTTTAAACTGCTCGCACAGGTTTTGCGCGTCATTGGTCCGTTCGGTAAGTTACTGTTCTTTAATTAGCATTACCACTACGTTATATATTAATAGGGCGTCAGGCCACAAGTCATAACAGTTTATTAAAAAGGAAGAATGTACAACCTGAAGCCCACTATTCATATTTTACTGTTCATTTAAGCTTAGAATACGGCTAAAGTATCTTATTTCTACACAAAAAGCGTTGATTTATCAATTACAAATCAAACAAATAGATTTCGAATCTATCGAACATTTTATACGCTTCTGTCGTGTATTTTTTGTCACATTACCTGTTATGATCTCTTTAAATATAGTACTTTCATGGTATATGCTACTTATGTCGACATAAGTAGTATATAATGCTAGTCGGGAATAGAATGTCCGGTAACAGAAGGTTTGAGGTATATCGATGAAAGTAGTACAGGAACAGAAAGCAAATGGTATGAAAATGTAGGAACAATAAAGACATTTAATGAACATTTTACAAATGAAGTATTAGAGTATGATTTTTCTATTCTTATCAAGTAACTCTGTTTTATTTACTTCATTCACTCAGATTCAAGTATTTTGAGTTTTTTTATATTACATTCCTATCCTATTTTAATTTCTCCATCAAAGTTCTCATGCTTAGGTATCGAATGAATGGCTACCATATCATTTATTGTTATTATTATCATGATGGATCATATGCTTAATCTCTTTATTTTTTGTTTGGTTGTGCTGGGTCGGCTTCCTGAGAACTTCAACGGAGCCTCCAGAGGCCCAAAAAGGAGCTGAAGGGCCCTAGCCAACCAGAGTATGATGGAACGTTCGAGAATTCCAGCGTGGCATGCTACCATTGGTCGGTAGCATAATATGAGGTTAACGGATTGGCTGAAATAAGATGTTGATTTAACAGACCCTAACATCTATAAATACTCTTGATTTTCTGTACTAAAAGGAACCTTGGGATAAAGTGTTTTCTCTCATACTTGTGTCTTCTCTCTCTGGAGTTCCAGTCGTTGTGTAGTTCTAGTCTGCGTGTTACGGGAATAGCTTAGGATTCGTATATAGCGTTCAACCTACACGACTTATCAGGTTGTAAACATTTTATCAGTATAAATAACCAGATCCATATTCATGCGTTCATCTTAGTTGATTGAATAACTCTTTTTTCTCAGTATTATAATAAAAATTGATTATAGCATTAACAGTATAGGGATTGTGTGCTTAATTTGGAGAAAAGCAATTTATTGTTTCGAACAAAAAATGAAAGTGTCTTCATTACTTATAAATATCATACATCCAACCACCATCTAATCTCAATATATAGTGCACGCAGTGTCGAGTCACCTAGACTGGTGGCCACATTGCAACATGGTCGATAGCAATCGATCTGCACTAAATAAGGACTTGACACACATGACATTGATCACCATCCAGTGATCAATCGATTGTGAATTCATTTGTATATTTTTCATTAATTGTTCTTTATATCCTTCATGATTCTTTTTCATTCTTAATTTTTTTAAGAAAAAAATGTTTTCTTCAGTTCAATCTTTTTCCACTTTTGATTAGTGTTACATACTACTTACATCTATCAAACATAAATAGTATACAATATAATAATAATGCAGTGAACAGAACACGAGCGGGGACAATTGAATGTATTTGTCACAAAATTACAAGACATGGTAATAAAATCTAACAATCATAAAGTAAATGCTTAATTCGCAAAATGCTCATCAATTGTCTCAAAATGACTCAGACTTCATTGTTCTTTCATTTTCCATTCTTTAATGTTCGATCCTCATTGTCTCTCTACTATCAGACCTTCTGTTCACGACTAACATCATATATTAGGACGAAACGGTCGTCTAGTGCTTCCATGTTTTCCATGGTGGTCTAGCTTCAATTGACTTATGATTTCAATCTGTGAAATTTCTAAAATCTCCACAAACCACTTTCTGATATACTACTTATGTCAATATAAGTAGTACACACCACAATAGTAATAGTAAATATAATAATTTTAATTCTAATATTTATTAAACTTACTGCATATGTTACATTAGATTGTAATCCATCAAGTAAATAACCTTTCAATGAACTATCACTATTTATTCGACGTATATATAAATCATCTAATTGATTGATTTTAGATAAATCCATTGGAAATTGTTTATCATTATTCAATATAAATTTAGTCCATAATTCTAATAAAGATTTCCGTTCATTTAGATTCTCAGATAAATTACGATAGATTATAATGAATGTTATATCTTTATAATTAGTTAGATCAATGGATGTATATGAATGATTTCTTGATTGTATATAAATCCATTCAATATAGAGACATGTATTATTCTAGAAAAAAAAACACAACAAAATAATGAAATTTGGAAGATTAAAAAAACTACTCTGAAGAAGTTCAGACAAGTTTGTTGGACGAAACACTGGAATTATTTTAATTATATATATATATATATATATATATATATATATATATATATATCGTTTACAGATTGTTATATCCCGTTGTGGTTTGTCTGGTTGATATATGAACCGAGTATGTTTGAAGTAAATGATTCATATTGCAGAGGCTGAGATTGGTGTTCTGGATTCAACTGGCTGGGCTAAACTGGAAGCGAGACCAATCAGGACTCTAGGCTGCTCGCACGTGCTTTATGCGTCACTGGTTCGATCGATAATCCGCTGCTCTCTGATTGGCGGTATCGTTGCGTTATACAATAAACAGGGCACACAGGTTCACAAGTTATAACACAGATCTCTATTATATTGAAAGAGTAATATATTGAACTAAGAATATTTTTTTGTTGTTCATAAATTCTTTTCAGGTTCCTACAATTCATATTATCTAAATTAATAATCTGAAAAATGATCAAGTTAAGGGTAATGTACATTATAACTAGTTTGTACTAACTGGGCTAATATCAAGCTGTTTACGTTTTTCACTAGACCTTTGCTTAGCCAAACTGAGAGGTGTTCACGAGCACAAAAATGTAAACTCTTAAGACATTGTTTGACAATCGTAAATTCACATGCTTTGAACGATGTTTTCAACTACTCTTAGATAATAATGAAAATTCAATTCATAAATCACAGATCATGTAAACAAATAATGTTCACAAGCCTATACTGATAATTTCAATGTGTTCATCAGTGACTAGCTTCGTCAGGGAATTCTCGTGGTTTTTTTGAGAAGCTTTAACCAGTGGAGCTAATCCATGTTGGGTAGAAACAGGTATCTAACTCAGTATAATTTAAGATAGTCGCAAAATTTTGTGGATTGGTTGAAATTAGACATTAACATCGTTGGATACCGGCCAACTCAGTGGTCTAGAGGTTAAGGGTTCGCGCGCAAGACCAAAGGCCATGAGTTTAAATCCCGCGAGGAGGGTCATGAATACACACTGCTGAGTCCCACAATATGACGAATCGGGCGTCCAGTGCTTCCAGGTTTTTAACGGTGCTTTAACATCGATCAGTTCATGATCTCAGTCAAAAACTTAATAATCTTTACAACCCTATATACTGAAAATAGGATGTCAACTTACTGTAGTCATCTGACTGTAGAAGTTAAAACATCACCTTTAATGTATTTAAATTGAGATTAAAAGGGCATATTAACTGAAAGTTATGAAAAATTCAGATGTGTTATCAAGTCAATTTGTTCAATGATAAATTTACAACCATCAGTAGAATGATGAAAGTAATACATTTAGTTTCTAGAAACAGTTCATGTCATAATAAGCTCAACTTTGTCAACCACGGAACTGTGCACATATAATACTCACAAATTGTGTCACTACCTTGACTGACAGAATTTAAACAACTGGAATAAAACCCAGTGGTTTAAAGGTGACGCAATCACATTAAAGCCTATGTTTAGTCTTCAAATTTGAATTGTACGTGTTCACTGCCAATGAATCCCATACCAAGTCAAAACAATTGTTCAGTGTTTAATGATACTGTTCTCGGGAAATCATTCCACGTTGTAAATAGTCAAATTATAGATAATATATCCATGTGTGATCTCTTTGTTAAAACATAGGCTTTAGTTTAAACTTTTTGGTGGAGTTTTCTTCTTTGAGCTGGATGGTTCGGTCGTGGAGCATTCATCTTTCTTCTGAACGACATCATCAGCACAAACTTCAGATAGAAGTGAAGTGTTTGAATTTCTCCATATGTGTCTCAAAGCTTGTTCTGTGCACCTCGACGTTGATTGGTTCTTATTGACCTTAAATTTGTCGTTGTTTACTTCTTTGTTTTGGTTGTATCTCCCATTGTTTTGAATTTGTTCTTATGTTTGTGCATGATTTTTCTGATTGGTTGATAAATTGGATTGATTTCAATATGCTTGTTGATTGCTGATTGACCTGAGTGCCAGGCTACTAAAAATTCTCTTGTGTTTTTGGAGTTTCCTCTGTCTAAGATTTCCACATTTTTCCAATCGAATGAGTGTCCGAAGTTGTCCACGTGTATTGATATAAGTGAAGAGATATCATGGCGTTTGACTGCTAATTGATGTTCATGTAGGCGTAGGTGTAGGGGACGTCCGCTTTGTCCGATGTAGTGTTTTTCGCAGTTGGCACAATTTATTTTGTAGATGATGTTTGATTTGTTTTCCTTTGTTATTTCATCTTTTGGTTTGCATAAGATTGATTGTAGTGATTTTGTTGGTTTGTGTGCCACACCTATTCCGAAGGTTTTCAGCAGTCTCGTCGCGGTTCCTGATATTCCTTGTATATATGGTAGGGTGATCCTTTTGTTGATTTTTGTGCTTGACTTGAGTTCTAATGCTGCGTGCGGTTGGCATTTTTTGATGAAGTTGATGGGGTAGCCGTTCTTCTGAAATACATCCTTTAGGTATTTCTCTTTATTTCTTCGTGCTGCCAGTGTGCTGCAGTTTGTCCTCGCCCTCTTGAACAAATTGTATACGCAGTTGATTTTGTGCGCTCTGGGGTTGTTGCTATTGTAGTTGAGAATTGGATCCGTATGGGTCGGTTTCCTATATACTTGAGTTTCCAGTTTTCCTGTGTCGGTTCTAGTGATCAATATATCCAAGAATGCTAGTTGGTTGTTTGACTCCTGTTTCATGGTGATCTTGATGTCATCGAAGACGTTGTTGATCAGGTTGTAAGTGTTTTCTAGTTCATTCTTTTTGACGATGACGAAGATGTCGTCTACATAGCGAATCCAAATTTTTGGTTTGATCACTGGTAATATCGTGGCTTCTAGTCTTTGCATCGCTGCCTCTGCGATCAATCCTGATATTGGTGTCCCTTTAGTTTGTTCGTAGATTTTGTTGTTGAATTGAAAATATGTTGTTAGGCATAAATTGATGAGCTCCGGTAGACTTTGAATTTGAAGCGTCGTGTATTTGGTGAGATTTGTGTCGTTGTTGAGTAGCAGGGATATAGTTTCTTTTGCTAACTGTGGTTCAATTGAGGTGAACAGTGCTGTTACGTCGAAGGATATCATGAGTTCGTCGTTGTTGATTTGAATGTCCCTAATTTGGTCCAAGAATTGTGTTGGGGATTTGATGGAGTGTTTGGCTGAATCTACTAGATGTCTCAGTATTCGTGAAATTTCTTTTGACAAATTGTACGTTGGTGTTCCGGGGAGTGCTACAATTGGACGTAGTGGGATGTTTGATTTGTGTATTTTGGGTCTGCCGTAGAATCGAGGAAGTACTAGTCCGTTGGATTTCATTCTCCATTGTTCTTGTTTTGTTATTTCTCCTGCTTTGACTAGCTTGTTTAAGGTCTTTGAGATTTGGTTGTCTAACTTTTTGACGGGATTTGTATCCATCCGTTTTTATGTGCTCTTGTCTTCCAGTAGTTCTTCGGCTTTTTTGACGTATTCTTCTTTGTCCATGATTACTGTGGTGCGTTCTTTGTCCGCTGGTATTATGACAATATCCTTTCTGTTTTTGAGTTCTTTCAAGGCCTTTTGTTCTTTTGGAGTCAGTTGGTTGTTTTACTTCGCCTGTTGAGTTCGCGGTACTATAGTTTGCCTTATTTCTTGTTGTGTTTCTTCACTGATTCCGGAAGTTTTGAGTGATTACTCCAGTGCTGCGAAGAATTCCAGCTTTGAGGCGTCGCTTGTATTGTAGTTTAATCCTTTTTGGAGTAGGTGTTCTTCCGTATTTGTTAGTGGTTGTTTTGACAAATTGATCACGCAGTTGTTTGTGCTTTCTTCTATGGGTGGTTTTGAGATCTTGATCAGTTTTTTCTTTAAGGCGTTTCTTCTTTGTTCTCTGTGTCGTTTGCATGATATCTCGATGGCTGTTGTCAAGATTTCTAAGTGTTCTGACGTAAGTGTCCTTTGTAGCTTCATCTTTTGGTCCTCTATGACGTGTTGGTATTTGCGGATTCTGTGGTGTGCGTCCGTTATCATTTGGTGTACCATTTTTCTTCCACTTTGCTCAGCTATTTTCCATCCTAATGGGCAGTTGATTGGAGATCTATATCTTACACTTGTTGGTAGAACATGCTGGCGAAGACACTAATGGAGAAAATATAGTTGTTCTCGAGTGGAAGCCTGCCTTTTGGCGAAATTCTCCCATTTTCGAACAACGAGAAGCGTATTACGCTCATATGATTTTGAGATGGTGGAGTTTAAACTATATTTAACAAAATATTTTACTGTCATTTGAAATAATTGACCCCCAATCACTCTTACAACTGGTATACAATACAAAACGTTTTTAGACATCATTTCCAAGGTATTTAAGGTGCGACTATAATTTATATACGAGCTTCGAGAGACGCTAAAGTGACCTATTCACTGGGGCTAAATAAGGGCTATAATGCACTAGGAGGAATTAGGATTAGTATTTACAGTTGTTGGTCAGGGTTTTCATCACGAACTGACATAAATTAATAAAGGTCAAAACGTTATTTAACCATATGGATAAATGGATTTCCTGCCAAAATCCAAGACCCATTGTCTCATCTCTCATTCGTTCGTTCATAAATTATAATCTCGCCGTGCTTAAATATGACGCTGAGTCGGCACTGCACAAGCACCTTCGTGTTATGTATTTGACCAGCTTTAGTTTATTTCCTTAAAAAAAGAAACTGTTAAGTATATATTGAAATGTAAAACAAAAGACGTTGCTTCTATACATAACTATCTTTCTGAAACTTATAATCTCGAAGTTGTAACATTGTAAATAAATACAAATATGAGAATGTTATCTCTGAAATCATTAGGTGTTTATGTACAATCAATATATAAATGAGTGTATTTTCTACTAGAGTCGTCGTTGTCATAGTGTTTTGGGTTAATAAATTATCACTTATACCAGTCTTTGTGTTCTTACTTTCGCGTCGTGGGAA